ATGTAGCCATTTTGTTTTTTTAAATGCTACGTACTTTTGATATAAATGCTACTGTGGAAAAAGCAGTGTTCTCTTGCTTTTTCTTTTAGATCTCAAGCTCATTAAAGGGCTATTAACTATATAGAAACTGTTCTACCAAAGGCTATGGATGAAATCACCTTCTTATTTAACAAACGGCTGTACTCTGTCTGTTTTTCTAACGGGCACTTTGTGTGACCACAATGGCCAAGCAAAGAGAAACATTTGACACCTCTCACATCACACACTGCAGAAGGTTAATTTACTGAATACTTGCTTATTGGAAAAATAACACTTTTGAGACTACACATAAAAATGTGTAGACTGAGAAATCAGGAAAAAAGAGAAGTCTATATTTCAAAGAGCCTAAGAAACCCTATTTATTGTAAGTACATTTATTTTATTTATTATATCTTTTTTTTTCTCAAAATACCAATTCCTGCTTTAAAGAAGAAGAACTAGATATTGTTGCCAAGGGGATTATGTACTAAAACCAAGACATGGCTTTGCATGAGCAATGTACACTTGACACTCTCCTATTAAAAACGGAAGAAATTGTATCTTTTGATCTATAATTTCTGTCTAGACAGGATGTTTTCTTCTGAGCACACTGCATGGTCTGTGAAATGGACTTTGTTGAAACAGCCCTGGCAAGGCAAACTATTTTTTTCTATTCTGCACCGAGGTCACTGCCCTTGGCCATCACCAGACCATGGGAATGACGGTCTCCGGCCTACCTGGATTAGCTGGGTCTGAGCTTTTCTGTGATAGTAATTAAAAGCTAAGCTGTTAATCAGCAGCACTGGAGAGTTCAGTAAATCATGAGGAGATGTCACTCTCCTGCTCAGGGGGGTTTCTTCTTTTGCAGGAACCTCCGCCCTGCAGAGTTCTTCCATGCGCAGTCACTGTCTATTGCCCTGCAGACTCACAGCTCAAGGTATTTCACCTCTCACCCTGCTCCTCTCAGGGGTCAGTAGCAGGAACACAGTTAATTTCTGAGATTAGCAGAGCTCACTCACGCCAAAAGGTTAGCACCTGACTAGTTTGAGATGTAATACGACCCAGAAGCCTACTGTAGTGTTTCTGTGCTATACAGTACGTAGTTCTGATCTCCCTGCTCTTTATAAATATCCTTAGTACTAAATGGGACCTTCTGCAGTGCCCTCATGATTACTCCACCCATAGAGCAGGCCACTGAGCCTGTAATCCAGAGGCTGGCCCTACCCTGTCCTGCTGATGGGTCATGAATCCACATGATAATTCCTCGAGAGTGAGAAGCATCTCACATGGAAATCCCAACCACTCACAAATGCTTCATGTTCCTCCAGAAATGTTTTAGGAGGCGACCAGAAAACACAGGGCTAGACTCGGGCTCACAGCTAGAGAACCACATTACTGTGAGAAAACACTACTATTAGGCTAACAGCCCTGGGGGGTTGCAAAATCTTCTTAAATGAAGAACCACATTTTTCTCTTTATGAAAAAACCTGTCCTACTAACACATAGGAAAATGTTGAATTCTTATATTGCTCAGGAATAAATACATTACAGTTTACTTTATCACAGGTTAAATTATGAATCACCCAGATTACCATGTGACAAAAAAAAACTTCAGAATAAGCAGCAGGATTTTAAAACTAAATTCATACTTATGAACCTACTGTTATGAAGCTTATGAAGGAAAAAATACATTACTTATAATTTCCAATACCTGACTAGTGAGTGACAGTTCCCTTAAATACACTGCTGTTTCAAAATTAACATAAAGAAACTACTTTAAAAAGATTTCTTAGCTTCATAAATATTATTTGTCCGACAATCCTAATACAAAATTAACTTAAGTTAACAATGAATCTGATGTATTTGTAGAAGTCCATTTTTCCTCAGTTCATCAAAAGACATTATTTATTTCTTTTAGAATACATTTTGTATCTTGATACAGGATGTCCCAGAAAATAACTCAATAACTTATTGTTTCACGAGTGCTTAAAGGGTGTAAATAGCAGTTTCCTTCAAAAAGTTATTTTGGTTTCACAAAGTCCGAACATTGTTTCTAAAGCTTTTATCTTTACATACAAAAATGAAACAAAAAAAGAAGAGATCCTTGATCCTATTGAAGAAAAAAAAATCTCGGAATAAAGACATAATGGCAAAATAACCTGGGTTGGATCAGAAATGGTAGCTAAATGTTAATTGCCCATCCTGTAGCTTTGTTCTTGCTCATCTCTCCTTCCCCACTGGCAGCCAGTATAATGAGCACCATTTATGGACACTGCTCCTCTTTAAGTTAAGCACAAATTAGGAAACATTTTCAAAAATGATGCTCCTCATACATGCTGGAAGTCATTTTATGTTTTTCATAAAAAGAGGAAAAACAATTTCATGAAAGATTTTCAAGAAACATTTTAAATTTGGCTGATGAAAAGAAGCACTTTCAATGGATGATTTGTTGAGCAGATGGTTGCAGAAAATGGCAGCTTCTACAGCAGAGCTTTGATGTGCTTTAGTTATTCTGATATGTATAAAAAGCGGACAGTTCCGTCTCACCTGAAATGATCTGAGCATCACAGTTGCAGCCTTACAGAAAAATCATACAAACCTGGACTAATTGAGAGATATGGAGTGCTTCTAAGTCAAGCACCTCAATTTACTTTACCCATCCATTCCTCATAGTCACGTCTTTCAAAGGGGTCATAAAGAGCCACAGCCTCACCTGACAGCCAAAGGGCACAAGGTAGAATACTAGATCATGTCTATTTCTTCTCTAAAATGCCCCTGTAATACAAATCTCAGTCTCTGCTTCAGCACTAGTAGTTGATAGAGAGAGTCTGGATGCAATGGGCAGTTGAACTGAGAAGCAACGAAACAGTTTTGACAGAGCCAAATCAATATTTAAATAACATTTAATATAATACACTGACATGAGTTTTATTCCCTTCAACGAACCAATTCCTACCATCAAGGTATTAAAGATTAAATAACAAATGATCTTTAATCCTGAGTAACTATGGCTAGGAAATAATATATATTATATAAATACCAACACCTCAGTGAACAGGATAATTTAATTCATAAATGAATACTAAATTAATGTTAGCCCCCAACCCCTTTAGAAATCTGACTCTGGACTGGGGTCATTACTCCTGACCTGTCTTGAGGGAATTTTCAACAGACACCTGCTGTTGTACAGAGAAAGAGCTGAAAGGAGGGTCACTGTGCCATTAGTGAAATGCTCAATCATAAACCTACATTTATGGTAATAACATACAGTGACTGGTAACATTCATACTGGAGTTTGACTATAAACACTGCTGTAACTTGTGTGTGTCTCCTTCAATGCTCTCTGGAAATGGAATTCTCACCTCAGACCTTCTCGGGACTGTGCTGTGGCTCTTTGCATCCCCACACTCCCACTCCCACACGCGCAGACACACAAGGACTGTGTTCGCTTGCAACACGCGTTAAAGTAGCACCACACAAAGATGAGTCACAAATTCTACTAACAAAAACTTCAATTGTCAGAGAAAATGGCCCAGTCCTTCATAAAAATAACATCACATTTGTATTTCACTTATTTTTAATGTTTTATCACCTTGTGGTTCATTTCATCAAGATAATGTGTTGATCATGTAACCAGGTGACACAGAAGCTGCAGGAATCGCTTTCTAGCAGCTACTGGCTGCTGTTTGGAAGCAATCATCCTTTTCCATGACCAGAATAATAATAGTGATGACGACAGCCTAATAATTACACTAACAGGCCAGGTGTCAGTATTGTATTAGTGGTCAGGTGTCTAGTTTTTGTCAGATGCATGCTGCTGGGCACAGGCTAGTCTGTTAGGGCAGGTTTTGTAGAAGTAGACGGTCTACTTTCTACTGCTTTTTCCACACAATTAGCAGGAGCTCAGCCTTCAGAAGCAGCACCAGGATGTGCCATTAGAGAAACCGAAAGCCCAGCTGATATTCTGAGCAGTCTTTTACCAGTGGATGAGATGTGTAGACTTAGCCACAAGACCCATGGCTATGTGGAGTCCTAGAACGTTTTCAATCTCCTCGTGGTCAATGTCTGTTCATGGAAACAGGAATGTGGGGCTAATGTTCGGATAAGGACTGCTGCCTTGGTTATAATACTTTAATCTGGGAATTTAAACATTTTTCCTGATTATGCATTTACATTGCACTGAGATACCTCCCCCACTTATACCCCTCTGTTTTGCACTGATCTCAAAATACTGCTACCACTTGAGTTTTGCACAGAACTGAAAATACCGCCACTGCTGAATTTTATACACAGCTGCTACAATGTTCCTATAGACAGATAGATAAGACATTATTGATCCTGAAGAGAAATTGATGTGTAACAGCAGTCCAGCCCAAGACAAGCAAAAACAGACATCGGAATAGACAAAACATTAAAATATGTACAGTAATTCAAAATAAATATGAAATAAATACACAGGTATGTGCAAAATATGCTCATAGTCACTGTAAAAACAATAAAATATGTGCAAAATGTGCATAGGTTTATACAGATTGAGTGTCCAAAAAAAGTACAATGGTGCAACATGCTGTGCATAGAAGAGCAATTGAAGGGCTAACAGTCCTAGCCTAGGGCAGCGTTATACACCCTGACAGCTGCTGGGAGGAGAGACCTGCGGAAACGTTCCCTTGAACACCGTAGCTGGAGCAGTCTGTTGCTGTTGTCTGTTCTCCGCAAATAACAGTCCCATGAAGCGGATGGGAGGCGTTGTTCATGATGGCTGTGAGCTTGGTCAGCATTCTCCTCTCAGCCACCACCTCCAGGGGGTCAAGGCTCAGCCCCAACACAGAGCCAGCCTTCTTGATAAGTTTATTGAGCCTATTTGCATCTCTTGTCACGATGCTGCTGCCCCAGCACACAAAAGCGTAGAAGATGGCCGCTGCCACCACCGATTCACAAAAAATGTGTAGCACCTGAGCCTCCTAAGAAAATAAAAGTCTGACCTTTCTTGTGCAGGATGTCAGTGTTAACAGACCACTCCAGCTTATCATCCAGGTGTACCCCTAAGTACTTGTAGGACTGCTCCCCCTCTATGTCCTCACCCTGGATGGAAACAGGGTTTAGCGGAGACTTATTCCTTCGAAAGTCCAGGACCATTTCTTTAGTTTTGCTGGTGTTTAGCTGGAGATGGTTAAGATGACACCACTCCACAAAGTTGGTAATCAAGCTCCTATATTCCTCCTCTCTCCCCTCACTAATACACCCCACAATTGCAGAGTCATCCGAAAACCTCTGCAGATGACATGCCTCAGAGCCTGAAGTCAAAAGTGTAAAAAGTGAACAGGAATGGAGCAAGGACATCTTTTATGTCATCCATTATGTCATTTGGCATGTGAGGAAAACACAAAACTGAGCATTTTATTGTACTTAGGTATATATGACAATAAACTAGAACTAAAACTTGAACTTGAACCAAATACTTGGTATAATAAAATCCTATCCTGAAAACTAACTTTAGACAGATCAAAACAAAATACTGTAAATACAAATCTCTGGCATAGGAAACACTGCTTTTAACCTTTTAGCCTGCTAGCTATTAACACAGCTTTTTAACACCTGTGTCCAGACAAATTAAAATTTTCCACAAGGAATGATGCAATATTATCATAACATTGTTCAAAAAACAAAAACATGCTAGCAGTTTTTAAAATGACATTAACATTGACAAGAACAAACATATCAAATAATCAAGTTTTCCTCAGGCAATCAAAACTGCAAATCACTTTTGTGAAAAAATGTGCAATGCTGTACTCAGGTTTGTGAGCTGCTCTTTATGATCTGTTAAGACATATCGGCACGATGCTGATGGCTTAACGTGCAATCATAATATAAGCATCATGCAACATTACACGGAATCCAGGACTGGGTTCACCTCTGGTTTTGTAATTGGTTTTGTAATCACTGAATTTCAGAACAATACTTTTAAAATACATGTATTGTAGAAAGTGTGCGTAGAGAACCGTAAAACTATAAGCCTGTGTTTAGTTCTTTCACTAAACATCTAGCGACTTATTAATTACCATCACAAAAATGTTGACAGTCAGTTTGATACCAAGTGTGACAACATTACACAAGAGAAAATGTCTAAATGACTGGTAAATGGAAAAAAAGAATCTGGTAATATAAATTAGAGGTAATTTTGCTCATTATCATAAATTATACACTTCTATATTGCACTTCAAAAACAGTAATATATTCATACGGTTACAGACACTGTAAAAAAAAAAACTGGAGAGAATCTGTTCCAAACATTTCTTACCCCTGACTCGGTGTAGTTTTCATCCACGAGTATGTTCCTGGCACAGTTGTTGATGTGCTTGAAACGGTCTGGACCAAGGAGAATCCCTCCATACCATCTGGACACAACCACCATCACATTGCGCACATCTAAAATCTGTACAGGGACAGGAAAACATGTGGCCCCATCATTCTTTATCTTATCCACCCATTTATACACTGGATGTTCTATACAAATGGCCGAAGTGTATTGGATAAGAATACAGGCACAGTTACACAGAACAAGTTAATAGTGATAAAAGCTAGACACTTTAATCTTTAAGTTTGACACCTCAGCTTCTTACAAAACATCTCAATGAGCTACAGTATTTTAGCAGAAATCACAGTTGGAATCTAAAGAAAAACATATTAAATGCTTTTTGCTGATGTCAGTTATAGCTTGCTATTGAGACTTTATGTCCATCTTTCTAAACTTATCTAAGGCATTTCAAAATGTTGCCCTGAAAATGCAGTTATTTCTTGGTATAGAAGCAAAACATCTTTTAGAGCTCAGCCGTAGAAGGATAACATATTATCCCTTTTGAGCATCTCAGGGGTAGAGTTCTCAGCCAGTAGGGTGCCACTTATAAAGGGGTGACATATATCTATTAAGAGAAAAAAGACTGGGAGGCTGGATGCAAACTGCGATCCACACAGCTGGAAGATGAATGTCTCACTAATTAGTTAAAAACTCTGCATCAGCGCTGACGGCACTGCTGACAATGTGGCTTTGCGTGACGTCAGCGTCAGCCGACACCTGCGAGGCTGCATTAATCAAACACGCACATGAATCACAGTGCCTGCAGGAGGGATCCGCTGCTGCCCCTGTAACTCCACTGTATCTGCAGAATGACCAAGCCTTGCTCTTTTCCATTAGTATACAGTATGTGATGCCCACATTTAACATTTATTTTTTAATTTTTATGAGATTCACTGCTCTCAGAGCAGTCATTCACTTACAAAGAAAAACAGATCGGCCATTCAATGTGTTATCAAAATGTGATAGCTTCCTTCAAGCTGTCTCTGTCCTTGGTCAACCCTTAATCTGACAGTCTGACAACTTTCACACAAAGCAAATCCTTTCTGACCGTACGCAGTGTACATGATGTCAAGTAGTGAAAAAACATAACACTGGAAACCCATACAACAAATAAGTCTAAGACGCTCATTAGAGTAGAGTAGGAGGAGTGTGAGGAGTTTACCTTAATTGCGCCATTCTCCTAAGACGTGCAAAATATAATGGACACCAGTACACAGTCTGTACAAAACTGACAGTGGCAGCCAACCATCATGCACAACATTATAAAACAGAATTGATTTACTTTTATTTATACATTGTATCACGCAACCCCCAAGCGTAACACAAATACTTGAACAGTCAGAAAAGTAATAAGAAATGAAAACTTAAATGAAAAATGGGTTTGGAAAGGTGTATGTGGTGGAAATTTTGAATCTTGAATTCCAGGAATAATTGTTTGTACAGAAAGTGTTGTACATACATGTGTGTACAAATATGTACATTTTTACAGGCTATCTATCTTTTCAAATGACTGTCCCTTCCAATGTATCCACTTGATAGACTGCCTCAAAGGTAGCCTTCACTGAGTGGAGAACATTAAATTACATCTATCTTCCAATGTGATTAGTAAAAAACATTAACCAAAAATATTCATAAAAAAGGACAAGCATACACCCTGAAAAAATAACAAAAGGTAAAAAATTAGATTGGCTTAATCACCTGCTCCTGCAGGAAACACAAGTAGAAAATTAATTAGTGAAGTACCAAAGGGTTTATGAAAGAATGTACTTCCTCTGTGCTGGATTACATTCAAGAACCAGCAAAGGAATTTATTCTTCTTCAGGGATTTCCATCATAATGGCTTCGTAATTGCTTCAGCATGAACCACATTTATTTAATACAATATTTGTCAATTTCTAGCTATATGCAGAGGCTTTTTAGATGGTACAAAAGAAAAACATTTCAGGATTACATATTAAATATGGGTCTGAGAAGAAAATAGCATGTTTTTATCCGTGAGCTGTCTTCAGTGCATTTTTATGTATCTTTTATTCTGATACCCAAGCAATAATGTCTCATTAGCAACAAATCCGATTTAAAGCAAGCAATGAAGTACTTAACACTCAATGCATGAAGAATGAATTCATAAATCAAATCTAATTAAAGGCTTTTATCCAAGACCATTAATCCCATTAGGCTGACTGAACCATGAAGTTGCCTTCAGAACTAATAGTTATTTCACAGTTTAAAATTTGTCACCTGCCTTTCTGCAAGACAGTGACATAATTTCTACAGACAAAAGGTTACAGTATATGCTTTACAGCTTTTATATGAAAATATACTTTATATATAAGGGGACTTTTCTTATTTTAAAGGGTGTCAACACCAACCTGCAGTTAACAGTCCTCTGCAGCGAAATGCGCGTACGACTGCAATCTCATTCATTGGAGGGCAATACTTTCCCAGTATAGATGGTGTCATGTATGGAAAGCATGTTTGAGCACAAAAGTGATCCAATTCCCCGCAATGAAGAGCAATGAGGTTGTGGGTATGCACTCAAGGATAATGCACTTAGTCATGCACTTAGTCAAAGATGTTGACTAAGATGAGAATACGTCCCGTTCCAGTGTGTGACAGTGGGTGTAGCTGTCCAGAAAGTACCAGAGAGGTTTGAATGATGCATCAAAGTCTGCATCTACTGAGCAAGTGTGCTGGAACACTTTCACAGAGAGAAACTAGCACTGTAAATCAGTCTCCAGATCATTTACATGAACACTTTCAATGCAAGAATAAAAATGTTTGCATGTTTGTGCAAGCAGGGAATACTGAGCAGCAGGTGTAACAGGGCACTTGACTTTAAATGGGACCAGAGATGCAACCCTGGATCTCAGTACCTAGAGTGGGATTCAGGCTCACCAGATTTGTTTGCCTGCATGCGTGTTGTGCGATCTCAGGGTCTGGCAAGTGCCTGAGAAAAGGCGGACTGAACCCCATCCAGGAACGAGCCCAGCTTCACACTGGGGGCTGTGACGATGGTTGAGGGAGCCTGATTGAATTCCGGCTGTGGATGAGCTGCACTATTACTCCCAACCCTCAGCCACACGTACCCTCAGATTGAATGAGCCCCGATATGTGATCAACACAAATATGAAAAATTTTGCAACTGCAATGAGATGGTGTCAGTGGAGACATGAAAAGTGGTGTATTCATTCATCACACACTTACCAGTGAAGAAACATGAATTCACCAGTTGGAAACTGAAACCACTTCAGAACATTCACTATCTTTTGGGACTGGCAGGGAATACTCATAACTGACTACCTCCAGCCCAAAAACATTGTCAATGAATACTGCTAATACACAACCTTTGAAAGAAAACTTCATTTCATCAACTGGGAACATTACAGTTTGCAATCTGTGACAATCTCTGCATCATGGCAACACCCAGCTACGTATTGCTTGTGAAACAATAACACATTCAGGGACCTTGCATTCTCGCTTTGCCTACATTTGGACCTGTTACAATATGACACACCATATGTCTTTTTATAGTCTCCATTTGAAACTGGTTCAAAAGATGTGTGCGCAACACATATACATTTTATTATACCAGTGGAGGAAATGCATTTTAATGGATGGGAATACTAATGAGTGAAACTGCATACGTTGTGTCTTTCATTTGTCAAGTATAAAATGCAAAGCATTTATACTCAAGGTGCAGACAACAAATCCGAATGCTCTCCGCAAGATCGTTGTATAAGCGCATCCCTACAAACATACACATACAGTATGCACGGTGCCTTATCTGCAACTATTATCATCATTACACTTGGCACTGGGTGAATATATACATTTTTATTAGAAAGGCTATTATGAAAAGCCTTATAGTAAATTGTGCTTGTTGTTTAGACTCTAATATCAGGTCAGACATGAAGCATCGATGAAAAGTGTAGCTCCTCTGTCAACTGTATATCGGCTGTTACTAAGCAGTTAAGATGACAATGCTGGTTCATCTAAATTGACTGAAACTACCGCTGCTTGTTTGTTCTTTTGGGTACACTGCTACAGTATAATCTGATGTGATCCAAGCATATTCACAAATAAGGCAGGAACACAAGGATCCTTTGTTTCTGGGTGATGTATTAAAGATAAACGGTCTAGGAGAAAACAAAGGTTTAATACTACGACTTAATTGTAAGTGCAATTTTGTACAGTAGTTCTGTGAGTACTAATCAACCTTTTCCCTAAAGGCTGATTAGTACTGACAGTATGGCAAAATTTAAAAGATTACGGAAGGTGTCTGGTTTTCATTGTTATACTTCAATAGTACATTATGGTGAACCTCGGAAACCTTCTTACATAATTTATGAATGTGCAGTAATTCTCTATTTTACACTGCATATTTTTCTCAGACTTTTATGCACAAGAAGAAGTATTCAAATAGGAAGCTAGATTTTGTCCAAAATAAACAGCTTAAATGACAACTAACGGACTGAAATCAATAGTAAAGGGTCCTTTGGATCTTTTACTGAATGTAGTCTTAATAATAATACCTTCATAGAGGCTTCATATTATAACAACACACAGACCAAATTATGACCGTTCTTACAAAATACAAAAGTACTGTATATACTGTATGCTTTCAAGTAACTCAAACCTTTACCCTATAACTAACACAATCCAAATTCTAGCACTGAAACATTTCAAAGTTCTAAATCTAAAACAGGTTTTATATGTTAAGTTTATAATATGGACTGTGACAAATGTTATTAACACTTGTGTATCTGTCTTTTCTTTTGGGCTCAACAGATACAGTACGTCAATAGTGGTAAAGGGATATGAATTTCGTGACAACATTGTGTGTAACTTTTAATGAGAAATTCTGTAGGATGCTTAAATCTCCCTAATTGCAAGAACATGTGCACATTACTCTGTCCCTAGTTCACCCTTTAAACAGATAGTAGCAGGCGAAATCTCCCTACTCAGTCGAACCCATTTGGTTACCTAACACCATCATCCCTGCAACTAATCTCACTGCCAGGAACACTTGTGAGGGACTGAGTAGACAACTACTGCCTACTCTGAGTGTCTATTTAAAC